TAAAATAAAATAAAATAAAATAAAGAAAGAAAGAAAAATAAATAAATCAAATTATTTGTTTTCAATTAATTTAGGTGACAAAAGCGGGAAAAAAAACAAACTTTTTTTAATCAAAATCTAGCCTGTTTCGCTAGTGTTAAAAAAGGCGCCCTTTTTTTTTCTTTATAGTTTTTTTATAAAAAAATTTTAAAAACTTTTTTAGTCCTTATAGTAAAGAAAGATCTTTTTTTTTTAAAAAAAAAAAAGAAAAAAAAAAGTCTCCACTTGAGCTTTCCCAATAGCAAAGAGTAACTTTTTTAATTTTTGATAACCACATCAACTTTTTTAACAATAATTTTATCCTATGAAATAAAGGAGAAATTACTGGTAAATTTCAAATTAGGGAATGATGATCCATTTAGTCTTCTATTTTTTTCTTATGAACCATTTGGTCCTATTTAATTGGTAAGGAATATTTTCCTTCGAATTGGCATGAGTGGAGTTTATATATTTACACTTGTTACGATTTTGGTGAATTCTTTTTTGCTCATTTGTATGTAATGATTGAGAGAGTAACGTTTTATATTTCCATTTTTGTGTGTTTGATTTTTGTAGAGTGATATACGATGGATGGGTTTCAATTGCTAATATTGTTTTCTTGTAACATGAGAATTAATTTTGTTTTTTCTGGAAAACATCACGATGTACTACATTACACACTAAGGATATTATGATGTGTCCAACATAAATCACAAACATTACGAACTGAAAGACCATACAGCAAGACACACACTTATAGTACACAACATATGTCACGACCCAAACCCTCCCCTAAAAGTTTGGCATCGTAATCGGCCAATAATCCGTGATTACCAAAGGCCTAACTGTATAAATCAAACAAACGGGGCTAGCGGGTGCAAAGATATAAGTGCTTTCAAAAGGGTGCTCATTGGACCACCTATGTGCTTCGACAGATAGGAACCTCGCTATGAGGCACAAAAGGTAGCTTGACCAAAATGGAGGCGAGATCGCTATCACTATGTCCCCTCCTGAACCGGATCACCTACATATATATATATATATGAAAACGTGAGCTAAAGCCTAGTGAATAACAAATGTGTAAAGGGTTTTAAATGATGATCATGATGTAAGGCAAATCACAAACTGAACAGATTCTTACCTTATACAAAAAGCATAAAAGTACATGTGGTACATCCCATAGCAAGCTAATACAGGCAATCTAGAAGACCGAACAGGCAGTCATAATAACCGGTACGTAGATATGATGGTTATCAACATAATAAACAGGAGTTCTAGGAGTTGAAACTGACAGAGATCTCTGTAATCATGTAAACAGGTGCTAAGGATGCCACGATATACAATGTAAGAAAAATAGGATTATCATTCATAAACATAAGAAAAAACACGTCAAATAGAGTATAATATAAAGTAGGAAAGAAATATGTTAAGTTAAACATATCTTTACAACATTGTTACTCACAATTGGCTCCGTAATGCACGTGACTGGGATATGGCGTTTGACCTACATAGACAGATATAAGTGTAGCACACTTAATTTGCTATACAATCAACTAATTATTTTCATTATTCAAGAATTGGTCTTTTATTCTCTTTTAATGCCCATGCAATGAAAATGTATGTCAAATATGGATGCGAATCACGCTAACGGAGGCTCGGAAGTAGGGTAAACGATGCAGAAAAATGAAACCGAGACTGCCAAACAGCCGCACGTGCGAGACTCTCACCGCACGTGCGCCGCACATGCTCTAGCAAGTGCAATTTATGTAGAATGCTCCAACATTTCCCCTATTCTTCGCACGTGCAGCCCTACCTGCCGCACGTGCGGTCACCCCTGCCGCACGTGAGGTTCTGTGTGTCTAAAATCGAAAATTCTACTCTGTTTTTGGTGAGCTCTCCCTCTTCAAAACTCAAACCCAATTTGACTAAATCAAAGCCCAAAAGTTATCAAACATGGTGTATAGACAAATACCAAGTTCAAACCAAGAATAGAACTTTAAATTCAAACCCAAGTCCCACAATCACATGAACAACTTTAAAGTTGAGAAGAAAACAAAACCTATGCATATGGGAATTCTATGTTTCAACAAAACCATGGAAATCTAACTTAAAATCATGCAAGACCAAGTAGGTGAGCTTTATTCATGCCAAGATTTGGAGAATTCCTCTTGTTAGGGTTTGTAACACAAATTACACTACTCAATCCCTCATTCTCTCCTTAAATTCTATGAGTTCAAGATGAAAATTATTCTCATGCAAGAAATCAGGAAGAATTCTTATCTCAATGAATTAATTTAGTGAAGTTGCTTCAAGTTCTCTTCTTCTCCCTTTCTTTCTCTTCTTCTCTCCTTGTTCTCTAGAACTCTCCCTCTCAGATTCTCTCTCTCTCTCTCTCTCTCTCTCTCTCTCTCTTATTTGAGTTCACATAGATATAAAAATTATCTAATTTTACTTAACGTGAATTAATAAAATTAGAACCACATCACTTGAATTAATTATCTAATTAATTAAATTATTTCTTACTAGCACCTAAGTTAGCTGAACCCTACTTTAAAGGGAATTAGGCTCTACCCACCTAGTCCATTAGTTAATTGGCAACCTTACAATTTAATGAATCAGACAGGTCTTTTTCACAATTAATGTATTTGTCAAACAAAGCATGGTGCACATAACACATAAATAAACATAGAACACGAAGAAACACAGAATTAAAATTAACCATAAAATTAACGGCTAATTAAGAGGCAGGTGTTACAACATATTTCCACATTGAACATATTGGTACGACACACAGGAAACATAACCACGTACCTACCGATCTCACTCTAAAACCAACATGCACAACCAATGTCGGGACGCAAAACCTCGTTGTTTGCATTGGATGGATGATGTTAACAACACCCACATGTATAAATTACCACAACAATAGAATGCATATTCTACATCCAAAAAGGGCATTATTCCAACTATAAATACACACAACAATATCATCATACCCTTCCACCATAAACTAATAGATAACTCTGATTATTAACATTCAATACATAACACCATAACATTAAAACCATACGAACATCACCTCTAATCATACACATTCAATGTGCGTGAATTGTCATATATCAAAATCATAATGTTAAATTTACCCCAAATCTCACATTGCACATTATATCAACCAATTAGGGCATGCAACGACAACTCAAACCATAAAACCAAAATCGAATACAAATAAAAGGTAACAAATTGCAGCACACATCAACAATTAAAGTGTCAAACATTACACACTTTTGCCTTTCATTGAAAACATTTGAAATTACGGCAATGGTGTAATCGGCGTATACGACGACGAACACTATCCACTATGTCTGTATGTATGTCTCCAGAGACGACAACATCAAACCCTCACCGGCTGAGATTGATCAGTTATTGTTGAAGGTGATCCGTCGGCAAAGAGATTCCTCCAATTAGGGTTTCAATCAAAAACACAAATGTGGAATTTGTGGGAACAACTTTTCGGAAAACCCTCAATCACATAGTGTTCCAATCCCCTAACATAGAAATGTTTTAATGTGAGAATGTTTCTTGACAATGTTTCCATATGCAGATCAAACATTCAATCAAAAAGAGGGAAACGAAAAAATGCCTATAGTGCTCTTTATGTCCACAAATGTAATTTCACCCACAACAAAATTTCCCATTTAGCCCCATTAAACGCATAAAAACGTAAATGGAAGATGACAAATGTGTCAATCTGATTGTTTTAGGACCTTTTGGTTTAACAAAAAATCTTTTGGTTTAATAAAAAAAAAAAGGCAAGACTAATTACTGCACAAGTTCATAAACTTGGATTTATTGGTGCTTCACCCTTAAATAAATAAATAAATAGCTAATAAAAACACAATTGCCAAACCAACCTTCAAGAATCTTATAGCCAACTACAAAACTTGGATGGTAGAAACTTTATACAGACACACATATATATTGTCACCCTATGCCAAATGAGATGCAGTGGATGATTACATTATCATTTTTTGGGTGAATAATTCACTACAAAAAAATTGACTTTTTGCGACGGTAAAATACCGTCGCTAATACTCCTAATGCCGTCGCTAATACTTTTTGCAACGGCAAAATGACTTTTTGCGACGGCAAGAGGGTGGTCGCAACTGCAGGGGTTGCAAAAGAGTTTTTGCGACGGTAAGTGCCGTCGCTAATGTTTTGCGACGGCATTTTTTACCTTTTTGCGATAAGTAATTTTTTTTAATTTCTAGACACACCTAACATAAATACAGCTAAAAATTTTAAAAATTGTAAAAAAAAATCTTTTAAAAATTCACTAAATACCAAAAATACAATAATTCAATACATTTTTTTTTGTATTTTTATGTATTTATTAATTTTTAAAAATATTTTTTCATAAATTTTTTATTTTTTAGATACATCTAAGTAAGGTGCATCTTAAAAAAATATTTAAAATTTAAAAAATATTCACTAAAAACAAAAAACAAAAAAACCCGAAAGTCACTTTTTTGTGACGGCAGAAAATGCCGTCTAAAAAAAGCAGAGTATTTGCGACGGCACCATTTGCCGTCTCAAAAAAGCAGAGCATTTGCGACGGCACAAATTTGCCGTCTCAAAAAAGTAGAGTATTTGTGACGGCAGAAAATACCGTCGCAAATGCTCTTATTTTTTGAGACGGCAAATTGTGTCGTCGCAAATGCTCTGCTTTTTTGAGACGGCAAATGGTGCCGTCGCAAATACTCTGCTTTTTTTAGACGGCATTTTCTGCCGTCGCAAAAAGTGACTTTTTGAGACAGCAAGTGTGCCGTCGCAAATAGTCCCGTCTCATATACCCACTTTTCTTGTAGTGATTACAATATCATTTGATCAAAAAACAATTCATACAGTGCTATTCTGCTCTTAAAAACAAAGCATTTGATCCTAAAAAAACAAAAAAAAACAAAAAAAAAAAACAAAACAAAAAATTACTTCAAAAGAAAATTACCAAACAAGCCCTTAAGAATCTTATATCCCAATGACATACAGTAGATGATTACAAATTTACAATTGTTTGATAAAAAGACAATTCATACAATGCTACTCTTGCACTCAAAATAAATAAAAGGTTTCATTCTAATACGCAATCTGGGAAACTACTTGAAATGTAGCACCATTCTGGGTAATGCTGGAAGGAGAGGGAAAATGCTGGGCGGGGAAGGGGGAAATTACCACCTTACCCCTGGCTCTTCCAGTTTCCAAATATCGAAAAGCTTCAATAACATTAGAAAAATTATATGGACCAGTTGGATCAATCACCGCCTTGAGTTTTCCACTCTCCAAATACGGCCTAAGCTTCTCCAAGTTATCCCCAGAAACCGTCAAGCCTGAATAAGTTGCTTTTGGATTTGATGGAGGCCACGTTATGTCGATGATTGGTGCGTCATCCTTAGCCACCACAAATGAATTTTCAGTGTCACCTGAAGATTTTCGAATAACATTTAACAAGTCACATAATTTCATATATACAAATTTGTGTACGAAAACTAAAGTAAGAATCATAAGTCAAAGTAGGATATTTTGGAGAAGCTTTCTTTTACATAGTCCAGCCCTGCTTTAACAGGAGTCTCATGCATTGTGTCGCTCTGTTATTTTGTTAAATATAGCCCTTCTTCCCGGAGAGGACCTAATCAATTCTTTAACCTGAATCAAATTACCCATTTGACCTTTACGCTTCGTTTGGTGATTGGGAAGCAAAGGAACTGAAAAGTGAAAAATTAGACAAATTTAGAATTTGGAATTTTCTCCCTTCCTTTGATTTTCCTCTCTTTTCCTTGGAAAAAAGAAACAGAGGCTTTGTATTAGTGTCATTCAATTCCCAATTCCCTTATTCATATGCCTCTCTCGCTCTCCAGTTAAAGTCATCAGAGTGCAAAGGTATGATAAACACGGTCTGAAAGTGAGAAATTTACCAATTGTGTCATAGAGGACATCAAATTTCTCCTCAACCTCTTCATATCTAGTCTTCCTGTAGTCGACAACCTTATCGGCTCCCAAGTTCTTCACAAACTCCACCTTCGGTGTGCTAGTTGTTGCCACGACATGTGAAGCCCGGTAAAATTGTTTCGCCAGTTGAACTGCCAACGTTCCAACGCCACCGGCCCCACCAACAATAAAAACCGTCTGTCCCTCTTTAAAATTTGCAGTCTTGAACCCTTCCATTGCAGTTTGAACCGCTAAAGGTAAGCTAGCTGCCTCCTCAAATGAAACGTTTTCTGGCTTCATCGCCACCAAATTCTCCTCCACTACGATGAACTCTGCTAGTGTCCCGAACTGCTTTAGCTTTTCATCCGCGTTGTTATCTTGGATGTTTCCATAAACCTTGTCACCTTTCTCGAATTTTGAAACGGCGCTGCCTTTAGCCACCACAACACCAGCCATGTCGCAGCCCGGTACCACCTGCATCGAGATTTTATATACATTTAATAATAGATGAAATTACGTGATTTCAACAACTGTTTACAGGAAAATTTTACAACCCACATGGAATATTGGCACTGAGGAGG